CTCTGCCCTTTTTTTATATATATATATATATATATATATATATATATATATATATCAACGCATTTCTTTTTTAATATGCCATATTCAATATTTTGAGTTGTATCCGCTTAAAGTGATCTGATTATTAGTTTTCATTTAGTTTTTTCAAATTTAGCTCGGTTTAATACATTTTTGGAATGGATTTGGGGTAACTTCTTGATTAATGAATGAATTTTTGGAGGCATGGACACTCCCACCCACTGTCTTTTTGCCTCCATCCTGCTGACAGACTTATAAAAAAAAAAGCATGAATGGAGCTGTAGTAAAAATCATTAATAAAGAGTCACAGCCATGAAGGCGGTGGGGGAACAATGGGGGGCCTTCACATACGGGCTGTCCAGCTCTCCTGAGAGTGCTGCCTGTACTTGGTGGGGATCGGTTTTGATGAAAAATGAGCCATTGTCTCACTTGCCGTGCTGCTGTTGTCGTGTGTGAGCGCAGCACAACAATGCCTCTGGACACTCGCCCAGCATGCTCATCCATACAATATAGGAAAGACCGCTGCTCAACCCACGTGGACAGGTAAGGCACGTTTTGAGGAGTCATCATTTCACTCCACAAGTAATTGGACAGTGACAGTGATGACGTCTTGGATCTGCATAGGGGATCTGATTTAACCCTTTCAGGGACAGCGGTTACCACAGTGGACAGCTTATCATGTTATCAGGTTACAGGCTTCATGAAAGGGTTAATTAATAGTTTTCACAAAAAAACTGGCATTTGCATTTCAGAATTATAGCCATTTTTCACTGTCCAAATACATCTGGAACTACCTGTCGAGCTCATCTTAAGAATTTAACTTTCTTGTTATGTTTTTTAAATTTATGGCATTTTTATAACTTGCTTATACTTAACTAATGAACATTTTTGACCAACATGCATAAAAGAAAACAGTGTTTACAGTTTAGGACAGTAAGCGATTAAATCATCGCTTGCAGGCTCGTTTCACAAACCCGTAAATGGCTTTTCGATTTCATTGTTTTTATTGAAAATCCGCAATTAATACGATATGGAAGAAAAAGAAAACCTTGTGGTTTGGCGTTAGGCATCAACAAGTCTGTTTGTGAGGATCTCGGTGTGAGCTGCAGCCAACAGCAGCTCCTGCAAAAGTGTGTTTATTGTGTCCCGGCATTCAATAAATGGGTGAAGTGCATCTGCAAATGTGGCTCTCCTTTCTAAACATGCGAGGGCATTACAGCAAGCAAGTAAACTTGATAACCTATCTGTGCTCGTTACCACAGTTTTATGGGCAGGCATGCCACACTGACCTGGGACCCAAGTGCCATAAAAACTTACATTTGTCGATTATTACTTTGAATTTCCTCATAAGCAGAGATTAAACATTTCCTGTTGCCACTAGATTGGAGTCTTTGAAGTCAAGATGGCACCCGAGTAGGCAGTATCTTATCTTATAGATGTTGAAGTGACAAATTATGGCAAGTGATTGATGGAGTTCCTCCTCAGGTCGACACTTTTTTTATGTACAAAAATGTTGATCAAGATCAGAGCTTGTGGAACCAAGTGATGAGAGCCTTGCGATTTTAAAGGCGAATCTCCAAGCTTTCATGCCAGGTTCTGTCTACACTATGTGATGTCACAACTCTAAGCGTCGCCCATCCGTCTAGGAAAGTGATTCCCTACTACAGTTTTTATAACGGATCCAATTTCATTTCATTAGTCTGAAAAGGACAAATTATTTAAGAGAAATAATGCTTCTCTGCTGGCGACATACAGTATAGTGACAGGCAGAATAATGAAATGTAAGAAGATACGTAGATTGTCTATACTGTTTATACTGTTCAGATTGCATATTATGTCTTTTATACAGTGTAGCTGCTATCTTGTCTTAGCTGTGTGTGTTTAATGCACAGCATGTTTGCATGCATGTTTGCACTGAGGATGGAGAGGAAGAAATTTTATCTCTGCTGCATGTCATACATAAAGCATATTTGACAATAAAGATGACCTTGACCTTGAACTTGAGCTCCTCCCGTCACTTCAACATAGTTCCTGAGCACCAAGATGATGCAAGACGGCACCAAAGAAATACTTTTATATTAGATAGGTCTTTAGCCAGACCAGAAAAACAGCAAGTAGGTGAGTTCTACAATAACTAACAGGAGGATATGTGTCACCTCACTCCACCCCAAAAAATAAAATCCACAATTAGGTGAATTCAAAAGTAGCAAGTCGCCAATATGCAAGGGAATAATGGACATACCGTATTTTCCACACTATAAGGCACCTAAAAGCATTCCATTTTCTGAAAAGCCAACAGTGCGCCTTGTAATCTGATGCGGCTCATAGATGGATCAATATTCTGATTTCTTGGACGTAGTATTTTAAATGTTCTGTGAAGCCCTTTATTTCAGCTGCAGTGGTTGTAAAGCTTGATATAAAAAAAGCTGTATTGTATTATATTTCCTTTAGCATCGCTCCATCTAGTGGATACATAACGCAACCTCAGCCAGTATTGTAGCTTCTATTCTATGCGCATGATAATGCGGTGTGCCCTATATCTGAAAACAGTTTTAAAATCGGCCATTCATTGAAGGTGCACCTTATACTCCAAAGTGCCTTACAGTGCGGAAAATACGGTACTTTTTGTGGCATTTTGAGTGGTTTTCCAAATGTAAACATGCCTTGGCTTGATAAATGTTGGAAAACACTGGTGTAATCTAAGTACCTGTATCAGATTTTTTTTTGCTTGTGTCTGCTTAAAAAAATACACAGGAAGAGGAATGTGAAAAAAATAAACACATATTAAATCACAATCGCAATATGAAGGGGTAAAAAAAAAAAAAAAAAAAAAAATCAATGACATTATTTTTGAAATCATTCAACTCCCCCAAAATGGCACCTGCAAACCAAAATGGACTGGCCGTGCTTGTTCATGTCGGTTAGATTCCTCACACTGGTGTGTGTGTGTGTGTGTGTGTGTGTGTGTGGGTGGGTGTGTGTGTGTGGGGGGGGGGTTTAATTTGTCTGCTAAGCTAATATAGTAACAGTTGTGTGTGCGTGTGTGTGTGTGTATGTGTGTCTGCATGCTAATGTTTGGAAACATCAGGGGAGTGCTATGTAAAATCTGTTACTCAATTGTTGAATCATATTTTGTCATAACTTTAGCATAACACTCACAGAACTGCAATAGCTCCCTGATCGGCCTTTTGACTCACCAAAGAATCTGCTTTGGTACTTGTTTATATTGTCGCAGTGTGATGTCCGTTTGTTTTCATACTTGCCGGGGTCGTTGCACCTAGACTGTTTGTCTCCCCAGCGCGACTCAGCAAGCCACATGACAGGTTGATTGTCCCACTTGCCCAGTTAAATATCCCTCAAAGGGCCAAAAAATTGTTAACTTGCCTGTTTATGTTTGTTCTCTAGTCCACCAAAAATGTTCATGGGTCATTTTTTGGTACACCAAAAACATTTACAGGCCAACGTGACCCGCTGCACGTTGAACCATTAAGATTTCTTTTCTCTTAGGTCACTGCCAGGTCAATATATTTTTTGAAATATTACAAAATATTTCGAAAAGCCAGGCCAGCGTTTTTCTTTTTTTAATTAAAAAAATATTAATATCAAAATCATGTGAAGGTTAACACATTTAAAGCCAGCTATAAATTCAATTCATATGCAACAAATATAATTTAGAGGCATCATTTGTTTCTGATTGGAGGTGGGTCAAAACGTAACTTGGCTGGTGAAGCTGGTGGTAACTGTTTACATAACAAAACGATGTTTGACTTTCATCACAGTTTTGGGACTCACTGTTATTTATTTAGCAGTGCATAGAATTACAAATTTTTGTGATTTTAAATAATTTACATTTTTTTCACACAATAAATATTTTATAGAATGTAGTTGTTTATTTCTATGTCATTTAAACATATTTTTAAATTTTTAAATCAATTAGAAAAATATTTTTAAAATATATTATGTATTATCTTCAACACAATTTTAATTTTGTTATTACTTATTTACTTGAAAACATGTTTCTTTACTTGATTTTATAAAATTAACAAAAATACAGTATGTAAAAATATTTTATAAACATGATTGACTTTAGTTTGGCTTTAGATGTCATTTATTTCCTTGTTTAAGTTTCATATTTAAAAAAAATATATACAAAAAACTTTATTTTTAATCATGTAAACATATTTTGTAGATTTTATTTTGATACTCCAGATGATGGAAATCTTTTGATCAAGGAGGTGATTCCCATCTAGTGGCCACAAGTTGCAACCACAAAAGAAAAGAGGCCAATATCCCCAAGTTCTTCAGAAAATGGAGCGCCCCTCCCCACCCCTAACCAGTCAGTATATTCGTTCTATAGATTTAACCTTCATGCACTCACTGTTGACCTTGACCCCATGTAAATGATCAACCTTGAACATGCTTATCGCTGCCTTGAAAAGCTGAGTCATGCATCATCTGCTAACATGACGATATAATGTGCGCATAGGAGCTGTCGTTGCGTGAATAAGTGCCAGCGAGCGAGTGTGGGAGATTGCCCTCGGTGCCCCCAGCAGTGTTGGTAGTTCACTGAGTTGGACTGAGGCGTCTGGAGGAACAGGAAGAGGAAGGGGGAAATATGCCGTTAACATTTCTCTGCTACTGCAAATGACCCTGACGAGGTCTGCTGCTCCTCCGGGCGTGCCCCTGCTCGGAGTCCATGACACGGCTGGTTAAGACAAGATAATGTCAAGGATGAAGACCAGCCACCCCCACCACGCTCTGCAGGCAAAGCTTTGTTCTTGCCTTCCTTTGGATGGCAAGTTGGATTTTAGTGCCCTGATGGGGGAACTTCATTAGCTACAGCAAGATGAAGATCTGGTGTGGGATGAAAAACAGCAAAATATCCATTTCGACTTTGAGATATGCATGTATACGTGTATATGTTTGCATGCATGCATTTTATGTAAATGTACTTAGACAAATTATTATTATTATAATTTTTTGATAGCAAATTCAGTCAGTCTTATCTGTTATTTAGGTGATTACCATAATCATTGCTGTCATAATAATTAGCATATTTCCTTAATAATCTCAGTATAAATAATGACATTCAGTATGTTCTTTTAATACAAATGAGAGTCAATATCCATCCATCCATTTTCTTTTTTGCTGTCCCTCATTAAGGACTTGGGAAAACTAGAGAACAAATTGCAAAACATCAGCACCAAATGGCTTTGGATTGCTGCCATGCCGAGCTTGTTTTCACCAGGCTAAGCATCCACGCACTGAGAGTGCAACAGGCTCCGGTGCGCTTAGCACAGGGGTGACCAACCCGCGGCTCACGAGCCACATGCGGCTCTTTCGCCGGCTCAGTGCGGCTCCCGGGCTTTCAAATGACAAGCGTCGAAAGCGCCTCGGCAGTGGCGCTGCCATTCAAACAACGGCGTTAAATACACAGAACATACTACGTTAGCCTATTGTCAATTCCGTTACTTGATTGACATACAGGGCAACCAATCAGACGACAACTGAATCACCGCTCATGCGCAAACAACGGTGCTCAG